TAGAAACTGCATACAACAACAACAACAACAACAACAACAACAACAACAAAAATGCTTTGAATTGAATTAAAAATTGAACTTAGATCAAACTTATAACTTAGAAGGTAATTTTCGTTTTTTAAATAAAATATAATACAAAATATTGTAAACTTTTATAAGATTTTAAAAAGCAAAGATGATCAATACTCCGATCACTCACTCTAATTCTTATTTTAGTAATGAAAAGTCTTGCTACTGAGGATGCCCTTTCCGATTCAATTGACGTGATTGGAATCAAGTTTAATGAATTTAAGAGAAGACAGATATCATGTGTTTTTTCACCTGTAGCCTGGAAGATTTCGAGTTTGTTTTAGAGATTGTAGTACTTCTTTTGCTCTCTAGTATTTTTGATTTGTTTACCTCGGCTGCTTTAATAGCAGCATCAAGCTTATAGCTCAATAATTCGGCAATTCGTTTGGCTTTAATAATGAGGTTTATGAAGAAAAGCTTCATACTTGCAGACTTTATGCTCGTTTGTATCTTTGCTCAATTTGCACAATCTGGCGTTACGCATTTATTGAAGCTACTGGGCATGGTTAAAAATTAAGACAGTGTAAGCACAATTTTTCCGTATATTACAGGTTCTGACAAGTAAAGAATTTTCAGAGTCCTGCCACAAATAAGCTACATATTGATTATCGACCATTTGTGACATGCCATAACGAGCAAAAAGTTTTAAAAAACTAATAGGTAGGTTTAAAATTAATAAATACAAATGTATTCTGACAGTGAATGAGATAATTATGCTTTCTATTTGCAAAATTTCTTAACCTTAACACAAAATAAGAAAAAAAGTAAATTTTTAAGAAATTTGCGGGATTTTCCAGGATAAGAAAAATTTTCCGGGTTAAAAAGCAACCAGGATCCCGGGATCCTGTTTGAGAAACACTAATAGCAATCAAAGTAGTAGTAGTAATAATATTACCTGCTCAATAGTTATTTCACCAATTACTTTACTTCCATATACTTCTCTGAATTCTTTAACTCGTTTTTGATGCTCAATAACTCTTTGTGCCATGACTGACTTTAAATCCTAGAAATAAAATTGTTGAAAAATTGTTATAAACTTATAAACATTTTATGTGATTTTAAAAAAAAATTATAGGGAATCAAGCATTTAAAAAATAAATGACTAACTTAAAACTTATAAAATAAATTTATTTAGGAATCATAGAATGGAGATTCTTATATCAATAGAAAATTTTAAAAAAACTTAGATAAGCAACAAGTCAATCTTAAGCTATTAATAAACTAAACATGATAAAAGCAATTAAATTAAGAAAATCTTTTAATATTAAAATTTATTGGCAAAAAGTTTATTCTGTGAGAAGTGCTTTATGTTTAATTTTCTGAAAAAAAAATTACAATTAGAACAATGTTGTATAGAGAAGAATTTTACTATCTAAACATTATGATCAAGTGTGACACTTAAAAGTCTAATTTCCAAATAAAGGAAAATGGATTGGATTGATGGTTTAAGATAATGCTACACATGGACAATTGCAAAGAGAAAGATGCTTTCCAGGAAATCTTTTATGGGAAACTGGCTCCTATTTAGGTGTTACACATATTAGAAAACTCTGTGGTCAGCCAGTTGGCGAGGCAAAAAACCAAAACCAACCACCAGTGTTTGATGGTTTTATGCACTCAGCCACTGGTGAACTAAAAGAAAATGTAAAGAAAAGACATGGTAAATAATAAATACATACAGAAAGGTCAGTCGACTACATTTATTCATAAAGATTTAAATAACAGATTCAAATTAGATATAAAAGTGGGAATGTAAAATGGTTCTATTATTTCATAACAATAATGGTAGACTATATATAAAAATTTTGATACTAAATCTATAACAAAATTTAATTGATTTCAAAGACAAAGTTAAAAATTTAGAAGCATTAGAAACTAAAGATCAACAGGATAAAATGAATCAAATCAAAACAATGACCCTGGAGTAATCTGATTTATGAAACATTTAGCTTCATAAAATCAGAATTAATAATGATATATTTTGTGTTATAAAATAGTAAAAGAATACAAAATATATTAAAACTAGGACATTGTGCCACTGTCATATTGTGATATAATTGAGGCGGAGCCTGAAAGAAAGAAGTGATCCCAGTACTTATTAGGCATAGAAGGGGCAATCTTTGTACCTGATAGACACAGCCAGGTGAACTTTGCACTTGCCACCACAAAAGAGACTATCCTTGTACCTGCTGGCCATGGGAGACATGATCCTTGCACTTGCCAACATGGAAAGGCAATCCAAGAACAAAGCAATTGCCTCAATATTTTTTGTTCATTTTTCATGCCTATTTTCAATTAGGTGTACACAATATAGTTTTTATTTTTGACCCATATGCCTAAATTTCTTTAGGCAAGCTCAGTTACATCAGACTACAGGCTTTGCAACTTTAATACAAGGGTTCCAGACTTTTTTTGTATATTGACTCCTTTTAAGAAATTTTTTCCATCAACCCCACTTCAATATTATATTATTACTAATTTGTTTTTTGAAACTGTGTCCTGTTTTATAATTCTGGCATAGTAAACACTAGTATTGTGTTATATTCCAAAGACACATGGCAAGTTTTCCATCAAATTCCTTTATTAGTTGAGTCAACTCAACTAAAACTTGCCATGTGTCTTTGGAATAAAACACAATACTAGTGTTTACTATGCCAGGATTATTACTAATATAAAAACTGTTGTGCGTGTGCATGAATTCCTTATAACTCCTGAAATCTTTGTCCAATCCAGATGAAATTTTGCTTATATTTGTTTTTTGTTTTGACAGAAGGTATAGGCTACTTATTTTGTGGAAATATTAGCTATAGAATAAACATTTTATTGACTTTAGATCGGTGATTGCATTTGTTTTATGAATAAAACACACCTTTAATAATCCAGCCAATAAAAATTAATAAAGTAAAAATGTTTTCAATCGTTTCTTAGATGTCACTGCACTTGCATTGCAGTGACATCAGTGACCATGTGACATTCATGCTTGATGAAGAAATTTCCCTTAAATTGCATTTTTAAATATTTTGGCAAATGGCATATTTTAAACCTGCTTCATCAAATTTAAAATTTAATCTTTAAAAATAATAGCAGCATCATGTCACTTCTATAACAAATTTTTTAAAAAAATCTTTTCTTAGTGATCACATGACATTCTATTATCCAATCTGAAGTAACAATCTAACGAGCCCATTATTTAGAAAATGCTATTGCTCGTCTAATTAACGTACATATAATTCATCTTTGTTGTATCAATGTGGAACTAAAAAGACTTGCTATTTTGTCAAAAAATTGTCTAGGGAAAAGAGTAAGAGTAAAAATGGTCAGGTAAATTCTAGACCTACAAGAATAAGAACAACTGAGACCCCTGAAGGCTGTGAAGTCTGACTTGAGCAACATCCAGAGCTGTAACTAGGCAGGTGCAAAAGGTGCACCCGCACAGGGCCAACTTGAAAGGGGGCCCAAACTGCTGTTCAAAAGAAATTATATTCTTAAATTTTAAATTTTTCCGCTTTTCTACAGTGCGGTTTGGCGATTACATTTCGCCTTACTTAGACCCTAGATGTCTGCTCACCAGTGTTCCCAACTGTGGCGACTTTTAGAGGGATGTAGTGAGGTAGCGGAGACCTCAGACAAATCAGCCAAAAGTAGCGACTTTTGATATTTTTTTAATTTATTTTTTGAGAAATTTAAATTTATGTTTATAGTTTTCAAATTTACAGATTTTTCTCTACTTTATAGAGCTTTCTGGCTACTACTAATATCATTACGATATACAAAACTGTATTTCTAGATTTTTCTACAGTGTGCAGAGCTAGAAATCTGTAAAGGTAACATTTTGTAATAAAAATAAATCTGCCCGAGGATTTTTTTAAAATTACTAAATTGAAAACGGTAACTCCCGAATAAAATCTTAGTCTCGAGGTTGTAAAAGGCGTGCAGAAATTCTGACATCAATTTTTGCTCTATAGTGCTACGCATATGTGGTGTATACCTGAACGGCGGATTAAGCGGTAAG